ATCTGCCATATCTTCATTGCTACCTTTTCCCCTCTTCCACTCACCAGTAGGCCAACATGGTTGCCAGAAAGCTTACATGCCTGTTCATGTGTTCCCTTTGAGTTTCAGTTTTGGAGGGGGGTTTGTCCTGAAGGGACCTGATTGCTTGCCTTGACGGCTCTCCAGTGAACAACTTGCTTGTTCTTGTAGTAGCCAATCAGACTGCCATTTTTGTTTTGGATTTTTCCTGCTGGTGTTTCTTTCAAGAAGTATCTTCTGTTCCTCTAGCTGTTCCAGGCTGGTTTGCTTGTTCTTTCTAGTGGGGATGTCCCACCTCAAAAAGTTCTGGATGGGGCTCAGGATTCCACTGAAGGTCCTATGCACTACAAAGGCTCTGCAAGAAGCCTATTTCACTGAGCAAGTTCTAGAACCCCTTTTAGGTATTATAAACAGTTTTAGGCTGAAGACGGACTTACAGAGGCTGTTGCTTCTTGATGTACCCTCCACCTAGGTATATGTACTTCTGAAGTTGGTGTTTCTATCTTTCAACCCTTCCCTGAATAATTCTATGCTCTTTGATTTACACCATGTCAAAATGGCAGCTTTGGCATTCTCACAGGATTCAAATAGTGTTCTTTGAGTTTGGGGAACAAAAAGAAGTCTGAAGTGGAACATCAGGGATGTATGGTGGATGGGATAAAGTTTCCCAATGAAATTCTGCTAGGACAGCCTTGTAACTTTTGAAAAATGAGTTAGGTGTATTGTCGTAATGAAAAAATGTTCCTTGGAGAGACGAGTACAAGTGGAATGTGGGACCTTATCCAGAGAAGCAGTGACACCAGAGATGAAGGCAGAGATGGGGACATGAAGAGAGGGAGCAGCTGAGGACACTAGATTCATGGGAGCTGGTGGCCAGGAGGCAGGCTTGTAGAATGTGTCCTTTGGTGGTTTAAATTATTATATATGCCTGAGTGTTAAAAAAAAAAAAAAAAGAGCTAAAATGAATAGAGAGAAATACTGTAAACTGATGGTACATGGAGGGGATTAAAATCATTGTAATAAAACAAAGTATATGATTTGTTGAATTCACAATAACAGCTTAAAAAAAAAAAATTCCTTGGCACAACTTTCCTGAAGTTTTTCCTCACGAATGCAGTTTTCTATTTTCTTAAAACTTATTCCTAATGATGTTAAGTGCTGTTGAGTCAGTTCTGACTCATGGTGACTCTGTATAGGGTTTCCAAGGAGTGGCTGGTAGGTTTGAACTTCCAACCTTGTGGTTATCAGTCCAGTGTTGATCCTAAGTGTCACACCAGGATGCCTAATGGTGGTGGTAGTTAAGTGCTGTGCAGTCAGTTTTGACTCACAGTGACCCTGTATAGGGTTTCTGAGCCTGTAAATCTTTATGGGAGCAGAAAGTCTTGTTTTTCTGCCATAGAGCGGATGGTAGATTTGAATTGCTGAACTTGCAGTTAGCAGCCCAACTCATAACCCACTGTAGTACCAACACTCCTTAGGATTCCTAATTGTTGTTGTTGTTAAGTGCCATTGAGTTGGTTCTGACCCATATCAGCCCTGTATAGGGTTTATGAGGAGCGACTGGTGAGCTTGAACCACTGACCTTGGGGTTCAAACTGACTTTGCAGTCCAGCTCATTAACCCACAGCACCACACCAGGACTCCAGTTACCCCTTTTTTGTCGTTGTTAAGTCTTGTCAAGCCGATTCCGACTCTGTATAGGGTTTCCAAGGATCAGTTGGTGTGTTTGAACCACGGACCTTGCTGCTAGTAGCTCATTGCTTATCCTACAGTGCCATACCACTTATACTTTATAAACCATTAAAAGTCAAATTGTGAACACATATTTAATGATGCGGGAAGATAGTTTCGATACATTGCTAAATAAAAGTTTACAAAAGAGTGTATGTAGTTTGATCTCATTTTTGTAGAAATGTATTTATTTTTATCCATACTTAGCTAAGCGAGGATCATTTGGAGGAATTATAAATTATTTTTATTTTTTACTCTCTCTCTTTAACCAGTATTCCCTAAAGATTATAAAATAAAATGACTACTTTTATAATAAGGAAGTTATTTAATTTAGAAACATAGTATTGATGGTTAAACAAGATCAGTGTGATTAATGTCACTGAATTATACATGCAAACATGTTGAAATATCAAATGGTTTGTTGCATATGTATTTACCACCATGAACAGCTAATTAAAATATACAGAAAAAGACTTTGAACAAATCCATGTCCCCAGACCTGCTATGCCCCTCTTTCTTCTTTGTGATGTCGGATGGATGCTCTCAGTCAGGAGGATGTGGGCACAGACCTACCCAGTCTGGTGTTTTCTTGCTTGCATTTGCACTTCCCTTTCAGGTCCACATGGAAAATTAATTCTAAGGGCAGTGAAGTAATATCCTAAACTCAGTGGGACAAAAAACTAGGCAGATGCTTTCTGAATTTGGCCAGTGCCTACCAGATGAGAAACTTTATCTCCAGAGGTGAGAAATTGTCCCTGACTAGTGTAAACAGTTGAGTGCTCAATTACTGACTGGAAGGTTGGCAGTTAGAACCCACCCAGTAGTGCCTCTGAAGAAAGTCTGGTGATCTACTTCCAAAAAAAAATCAGCTATTGAACCCTCTGGAGCACAGTTCTACTCTGACACGAATGGGTTGCTGTAGGTTGCAATCAACTCAACAGCAACAGGTTTATTTCTTTGGTTTTAGGTGAGATGCATTCCAGTTAAAATTAGGCAGACTGATGTATGTCAGAGTAGAACTGTGTTCCATAAGACTTTCTATGGCTGAGGTTTTGGAAGGAGATCACCAGGTCCTTCTTGCAAGTCACTTCTGAGTAGATTTAAACCTCCAATCTTTTGGTAAGAAGCAGCGTGCCTTAACCATTTGTTGTTGTTGTTAAGTGCCATAGAGTGGGTTCTGACTCATAGCGACCCTGTATAGGGTTTCCAAGGAGTGGTTTTTGAGTTAGAACCACTGGCCTTGCAGTTCAAACTGACTTTGCAGTCTAGTGCTTATCCTACAGCACCACATCAGGAATCCTAACAATTTGTTTGTTGTTTTTGTTGTTCTTGTTAAGTGCCATGGTGTCTATCCCAACCCTGTATAGGGTTATCATTTGGATCACCTTTTAGATCCCAAATAAGAAAAACCCACATAAACTTCATAAAATATTTACAATCTCACAAAAGAAGTTTATAATTTTTGTTAAAGAATATTTAAATTTATTATTTCTGTTTAGTGATTTATTTGAATAATCTAGTATGCCTTTGGTTAATACCAATTGGAAATAAGATTACTGTTAATTAATGCTTTTTGTTGGGTGACCAAATCTTACAAACATGAGGACCTTGGGAGTGGGGAAGGAGAAGGGACATATTACAAAAGGTTTTTGGTACTGAAAGGGCTGGGAGCAACTGCTCTACAGATTAAGGTCCAAATTCCTTGTCACAGCATTCAAGGCCCCTTGCTCCATTTGACCCTTCTGACCTCTGCCACGTCTCCCACATATATCCCATACTCTAGGCATTAATTACTTCTCACATCTCTGAGGCTTTCCTTATTTTGGTCCTTCTGCCTTAAGCTCTTTCTCTCTCACAAAATTCCAGTTCATTTTTCCAGGATTTGCTCCTTGGAGAAGTCTTTTCCCAGGCTCCATCTGGAATGCCTCCTCCTTGGAGCTCCTGAAAGTCCTTTACACTTTATTTCTGGTCTGGATCAGACCAAACCTAACCCTCTAGAGGGCAATGACCAGAGTTATTGTGTCTGTCCTGATTGGTGGTGTTGTTGTTAAGTGCTGTTGAGTCAGTTTTGACCCATAGTGATCCTGTATAGGAGTGGCTGGTGAACTTGAACCGCCAACCTTGTGGTTCAAACTGACCTTGAAATCCAATGCATTAACTCACAGTGTCACACCAGAAGTCTATCTGTCCTGATAGCACCTGCTTTATCTCAGCCATGGTAAAGGTTCATTGACCATGTGTTGCACTGGAATGAGTACCAGAGTGTGATACCATTCTTTAGTAAGTCACATGCATCATAATTTACTAAACTCAGGTTTTCCTCTGAGTTTCCAGATCCTAAAAAGCACCTGTTATTTTACTTTCTTTTTTTTATCTTAGTCATTCTAGTGAGGGTCCTGATTTCTTCTTTGAAAAATATTATAAATACATACTTCAATGCATTCCTCTGGTCAATGCCACATCTCATGACAGAAAACTGGTGCAGAAACTGAAACAAACTGCCCAGGTCTGAATCCCAAATCTGTCACTTAGGTGGTGACATTGGTCAAATCATTTAATTTTGCTTTATATCAGTTTACTATCTGAATGATTTGTTTATGAGAAGAAAATAAAATAGCTTTAAAATGTGTGTCACATAGTAGGTATTCTAGAAATTTTCTTTTCCTCCTCTGATTAGAAATAAGGACTCCTACAAAGGAGTCCTGGTGTGGCACTGTGGGTTAATGCACCAGACTGCAAAGCTGTTTGAACTGCAAGGTCAGCGGTTCAAGCTCACCAGCTGCTCCGTGGAAACCCTATACAGGGTTGCTATGGGTCAGAACCGACTCGATGGCACTTAACAACAACAGCAACAACTGCGGTGCTGTAGGGTCAGCACTGGAATACAAACCGCAAGGTCAGAAGTTCAAACCCACAAGCTACTCCTTGGAAACCTTATCCAGGGTCACTATGAGTCAGAATCAACTTTACGACAGTTAACAACAACAGCATTAGAAATGAATTTCATAAACTCCATGGTCCCAGGCTTTATATTCCCACTTCATAAAGAAACTCTGGAGTTAGCATTTAGGGCAGGGATTTGCCCTCGCTCTCCCAAACCCCAACTTCAAACAATTACCACAATGATTAAGTTGCTTTGTTTCAGTTCCCACCCATAAACTACTCTGATTTGAATTCAGCAACTTTCCTGACATTTTCACATGAAGGGAACAGAATTTTGCCCCTCAGAGTTATTTGATTGAGATGCTGACCTTATTTCTTCTTTAAAGAACTTCTTGCAAATAGATGTCCCGATGCAGGCATTGCATTTATCAAGACCCAGGAAAGTCCTTCCAGCATTGTAGCTGCTTCTGACTTGAGGCACCAGAGAAGGAGTGAGAGAAGCTGGCAAGGAGAAAGAAGAGCTCAGGGCTGAGAACCACAGCAGCAAGGCCGGCCAGCCTGGGCAAAGTGGGGTGGCCCCAGGTCCCAGCTGAGGCTCCATCCCTGGGTTGAGACTCCAGTTGCAGCCTCAGCTGCCCACTGAGGGCTGCACAGAGGCAGATCTAAGCAAAAGAGGAAGCTGTCAAAAGGGGCAGGTTTCAGGGACACTGACCCCATCCCAGCCTCCCAGGGTTCTGTTAAAGGGTTCTGTTGGGCCTAATGGGATGAGGGAGGAGGTGAGGAAATCCATGGAGGATGCTGATAAGCCATTTCCAGAGTTACTCTTCCTTTGTCTGGGGCGGTTGCCTCAAGCTGGAGAGGAGTTCACTGCAGATTTTGGGAGGGAAGGACAAGCATCAGGGCTTCTCTGTGTAGTCTTCCAACAAACACAGGATATCCTGGCTGGGCAAGAATGGTCCACACAGGATGTCTGTTTGACCTAGTTCCCACCTGGGAGTTTCAAAAGATCCTGAAGGCCTCCGCCCTCCACTGTTTTAATTCTGGGTATATTTGTCCCTGTGGATTACACACACACACACACACACACACACACACACACATTGTCTTCCTCCTCAGCAGTGAATAATTTGACCGGCTCATATCGCTCCAATTTTACCATGTTTGGTTGTGAGATAACTAGAGGTTAACTTGCTGGCAATTAAGTGTCACAATTACCATTGATTTGAATGGCCAGGGTTATTTGCTGTTTAGGGAATAGAAAAACGCAGAATAGTCCGTGTTTCAGTTTCTCTTGGTAATCTGAAAACTGATGGGAAAAGGACCTGGTAGCTTTTGTGGTGTGGAGGGGCACACCGAAGGTCCAGCTGCATTTGTTTCTCTCTCACACACCTAAACGGTCCTCTTCCCTTTACCAGCCTGCTTCACTTCTCTGTGGTATTTGTCCCTGAGTCTCACTTTATTTCTTCTTCTTTTTAAAAATTTATGCTTAAAATGTATATAACAAAATATATACCATCTTAAGAGTTTCTGTATGTAAAATTCAGTGACATTGATTACATTTTTCAAGTTGAGCATCATTTTCAAATGCTTTTCCAAATCACTCCACCATCACTCATGAAAAAAACTCAATTCCCCTTAAGTCAAAGCTTCCCTTTTCTCTTTCCCTGGTAACCACTAAACAAGCTTTGATTTCTATGCATTTGCCTATATCATATAAGTGGAATCATGCAATATTTATCCTTTCATGTCTGGTTTATTTCAGTCAGCATAATGTTTTTAAGGTTCATTCATGTCATGCCATGTAGGAGAACTTCAGCTTCACTTCTCTTTATGGCTGATTAACATTCCACTAAATGGATATAACTCATTTTGTTTACCCATTAATCTGGCTATGGACATTTCAATTGTTTCCACCTTTTGGCTATTATGAATAGTACTGCAATGAACATTGGTGTACAGGTTTCTGTTTGTGTTCCTGTTTTTAAGCTTCTTGGTTATATATACCTAGAATTGCTTTTTGAGGAACCACCACACCATTTTCCACAGTGGTTGCTGTGGAACAGTCCCACAGCAATGGATAGTTTCCAATTTCTCCACAGCCTAAAAAACATCCGTTGTCTGTCTGTCTGTGTCTTCCTTCCTTCCTTCCTTTCTCTCTCTCTCTCTCTCTCTCTCTCTCTTTCTTTCTTTCTTATCATAGTCATTCTAGTGAGGGTCCTGATTTTTTCTTTTAAAAATATTATAAATAGATATGCCGATATATTTAACTTGGATTTAATTTCCCCAGGATGGGTTTCCACCTAACTCTAAATTGAGGGCCAAAACATGGGCTCTGTAGGAGTGTAAATCAGGAGTAGAGGGAACACCTAGGGACCAAATCATGGAAGGAAGATTTGCTTTTATACCTGGGAGGGAATGTGGGGAGATTTGCTGAAGATTGCCTTGATGAGAAGAGCAGGGTAATCACAATTCTCTGATGGTTAGTCACGTGCTTATTGTTGTTGTTAAATTCTGTTGAGTTGGTTCCAATGTACAGTGAACCCCTACAGGGTTTCCACCACGACTCACCTGTCTGTTTATCATATTGTGATGGCTTGCATGTTACTGTCATTCTGGGAGCTAAGCCACCGGTAGTTTAAATATCAGCAGGGGACATCCATGTTGGACAAGTTTCAGACTAGGAAGGAGAGACAGACTATTTGTGAATATTTAGTCACTGAAAACCTATTAGTAGCAGTGGAACACTGTCAACAGTAGAACACAGCACTATACTATTGAATATTGAAACAGGATGAAGAACACCAGAATACTGTCAGATATAGTGCTGGAAAATGAGCCCCTCAGGTTTGATGCCAATCAAAATACCATGACAGGGAAAGAGCTGCCTCCTCAAAGTAGACTTGATGGTGATGATGCAAATGGAATAAAGCTTTTGAGGCCTTCATTTGCTGATGGGGCACAACTCAAAACAAGGAAAAACAGCTGTAGATATCCATTAATAACTGGAACACAGAATGTATGATGTATGAATCTAGGAAAATTGGAAATTGTCAAAAATGAAATGAAACACATAAATATTGATATCCTAGGCATTAGTGAGCTGAACTGGACTGGTATTGGCCATTTTGAATCTGACAATCACATGGTTTACCATACTGGGAATGACACATTGGAGAGGAGTGGCGTCTCATTCACCATGAAAAAAGAACATTTCAAAATCTATCTTAAAGTACAACCCCATCTGTGATAGGATAATATACATATGTCTAGAAGGAAGATCAGTTAATAAAACTATTATTCAAACTTATGCACCAAAAACTAAAGTCGATGATGATGATATTGAAGAATTAATTATACCAACTTCTTTAGTCTGAAATTGATCAAACGCGTAACCAAGATGTATTGATAATTACTGGTGATTAGAATGCAAAGGTTGGAAACAAAGAGAAAGGATCAGTAGTTGGAAATTATGGCCTTGGTGATGGAAATGATGCTAGAGATCACATGATAGAATTTTGCAAGTCCAACGACTTCTTCATTGCAAATACCTTTTTTAAAAAAACAAACACATGGTCCTCACCAGATGGAATTCACAGACATCAAATTGACTACATCTGTGGAAAGAGACAGTGGAAAAGCTCAACATCACTAGCCAAAACAAGGTCAAGGGCCAACCATGGAACAGACCATCAGTTGCTCATATGCAAGTTCAGGATGAGGCTGAAGAAAATTAAAAACAAGTCCAAGAGAGCCAAAATATGACCTTGAACATACGCCATCTGAATTTAGAGATCATATGAAAAACAGATTTGATGCAGTAGACACCAAAGACTGAAGAGTAGGAGAGTTGTGTGATGACATCAAGAACATCATACAGGAAGAAAGCAAAAGGTTAGTAAGAAGAAAGAAGGAAAAGGCCAAAATGGATGTCAGAATAGACTCTGAAATTCGCTCTGCAGCATAGAGATGCTAAAGCAAATGGAAGAAATGAGAAAGTAAAAAGCTGAAAAGAAAATTTCAAAAGGCAGATTGAGAAGGCAAAGTCAAATATTTTAATGAACTATGCAAACACCTGGAGTTAGAAAACCAAAAAGGAAGAACACACACTCTGCATTTCTCAAGCTGAGGGAACAGAAGAAAAAAATCAAACGTCAACTTTGCAGTATTGAAGGATTCTATGGGCAATAAACAACACTGGACCAATAAACACCATCCATATAAATGGAGAGAAGATTGAAGTTGTCGAAGTCTTCATTTTGCTTGGATCAACCATCAACACTCATGGAAGCAGCAGTCAAGAAAGAAATCAAACGATGTATTAGGCAAATCTGCTGCATAAGACCTATATAGTGTTTCCAAGAGCAATGATGTCAGTTTGAGGAGCAAGGTGTGCCTGACCAAAGCCATGGTATGTTCCATAGCCTCATATGCATGTGAAAGTTGGACAATGAATAAGGAAGATAGTAGAAGAATTGATGCTGGTGAGTTATGGTGTTGGAGGAGAATATTAACAGTATCATGAACTTCCAAAAGGACAAACAAACCTATTTTGGAACATATACAGCCAGAATGCTCCTTAGAAGCCAAGATGGCTAGACTTTGTCACTCATACTTCAGATATTTACCATCATGCTTGGTAAAGTGGAGGGTCAGTGAAAAAGTGGAAGACCCCCCAATGACATGGATTGGAATAGTGACAACAGCAATGTGCTCAAATGTAGCAATAATTGTGAGGTTGACACAGGACCAAGCAGTGTTTTTTTCTGTTGTATATAGGGTCGCTACTTGATGGCACCTAACAATGACATAGGGTTTATGAGGAGTGGCTGGTGGGTTTGAATTGCTAACTTTTCAGTTAGCAGTCCACTGCTCATCCTATACCAAGACTCCTGTGTATCTACTAAGGTGAAATGTCCATTTTTTTCTTTTTTACTGTTGAGTTTTGTTTGTTTTTCCTTTTCATCCTACTTTTTATTGTGAACTGAGTGAAGATTTGCAGAACAGATCAACAGTTTTACATTCAACAACTCATTTCAATGATTGCATTTTTTTTCTTTAGTTCATCTCAATGATCGCAATTCCTTCAGTGTTCGCATGGTCCATTAGTTCATCAGGCTGTTTCCATGCATCTTCCATTTTCATCACTCTACTTTCCTCCAAGAAGAGATCCACAATTGCACCTTAGGTGGTCGCTCATGAGGCTTTGTGAACTATGTTATGCCAATTGACCATGGTGGCCCCCCAGACTATGGTCCTGAGTCCCCAGGCCCAACAACTCATTCTCTCAAGGTGTTTAGTAATCTCTGAGAAATTTTCATAATTTTGCCCCCTGTATGCTACACCACATTCATAGATATATTTGTAGTATATACCAATATCCTCCGCCAAACCTTTATATATTTGTGGTTATATCCCCACTCTCCCTCCCACACTCATTCAACCTGTGTGTCTATACATGTATCTATCCATAGATCACCATTGTTGCAGGATTGTGTATATAACAGTATTTACTTCTGTTGCCTATAACTCTTGCACTCCAGCCTGTATCTTTCCATGTCTCCTTCATTCTTTTGCCACCTCTTTCTTATTATATATTGCCTT